GTAGGTAGGTAGGTAAGTAGGTAAGGTAGTGACGGTCTCACAACTCGGACAAGCCGGGCGAGGTCTATCAGGTGCGAGTAGGGCTCTCCTAGTCAGAGAACGCTAGGGACTAGGGATTCCTAAGAGAAAACACGAATGAATACTAGAGCTTCGAGAGTCTTCAAGGATTTCTTGACGGAGCACCCAAAGCCCCCGGGGAGCACAACTTCGTCTCGAAGATGCTTTGCCTTTGCAGCAGTGCCGCGGAGGCCACGGTCTTTAAGGCTCCAGCTTCCAAGTTCGACATTTATTAATAACACTTTTGGAGTTGAAGATGACTGTCTCTACATGGTTCACCCACATCTCAGGAAGCCAACAGCCTGTCAAAGTTTGGTGGGCTCAGGGTCTAGATGGATCACATGAAGGAGAAAGGCAAGGCAAGAACAAATCTTGATGGCTCGGGATCTAGCTGAGCCGTTGTTTAGCGATGAACTCAACGCAGCCCTTCTCACGGGAGTTCTTCTCAACCACGATCCCCCTTACGAAGCACAACAGCGACTGCCACGAACGCCCCTCAGCCTGCAATAAACTCCGAAATGGTGTACACCCTGCACCGGAGCTTGCAATCTAAGTTTTGGAGACTTTGATTGATGTCCGCAGTTAGCACGTTTAGTCTAAACTGTCTGGCGAAAGCCCTGCCATCGCATCGCTGTTCCCAACTCGTATGCTTTTCAGAAACAAGTGAAGACTCTGATGCTGCTGATACTGATTTCGGTTACTGGAGTTTCCCGCTACCCATTGGAATTATCATCTCACTGCCGAATGCAATGACCACTGGTACAAAAGCAATGCTACCATTCCAGACCATTTCGAAGTATGTATGTGGAAAAGTGACGCAATGATGGTGTCCGCGATGGCAGCAGTCAGAGTAAAACAGGGACTATTGGTACGGACGGCTATCAAGAAATACTAACAACTCTACAACAGTGATTATGCAGGCCACTACACTGTTCCGTGTCCTCTTCTTATTACCCTCCGACTGAAGCTCCTCTTCGATGTCCAGGCTGCAAGTTGAGGGCGACATCTGCCAAAGATCGATCCTCCTGAGGCTTAGCTTCAGGGTCTCGCAGCTCGGGAACTCCAGGGGTTCTGGCACACTAGCAAGAGCAGTCGGCCAGCACACATGTCATAGCACTGGGGACCGATTACAGCTAGGGTTTCGACTCGCACCATCCCTAAACCCCAAACCCTAAACCCTACACCCTAAGGCAGGCACGGATCCCAAGGTCTCCACAAGTTGGGGTTTGCTGTTTCCTATACGGCTTTTTGGGATTACGGCACGCGCAGGCTTCCTACGCTTTGAAACACCAGACATGCAGGAAACCAACATTAAAAGGTTCTCACACATGGAAGCACACGTATGCATCAGTCTGCACACTGAACCCTCTCTCTCTCTCTCCCTCTTTTTTT